CCCCAAAACCCCAAAACCCCAAAACCCCAAAACCCCAGCTGGTACCAAATAATTGAATGTGAATTACTCATACGTCGTTATGAAATCTTTGTAGAATACTTGGTCTTCTCCGCTAGTTGGATCAAGAATGGCATCTAAGAGTTAAAGAAGGAACTTACTCATTGACTGCTGGCTAGGGAATATGCCGAAAGTCCTGAGGATTCTTAAAAAGTCTCTCTTGCTAATCTTTCCTCTATTCTTGTCAATCGTTCCACACATTTTAAGGATATAATGCTTATTTTGGGAGAGAGAGTATTTTATAGCATCATTTGTAGACTCTCTTTTTCCCATTCTTTCAGATTTAACAGCTTTTATGATCTCTCCGAGCTGTGAGTTAGTGTCATTGGGGCCTGACCTCACTGATTTAAGCTTAGACACACTCTTAATACTCTTAGAATGAGGTTTCATATAATTATATGAAGGTTTATGCAATCCGAGCTCTACTGATAGTCTGTAATAATTGATATCTCCATTCTGTGAAAATCTCTTCTGGATCCTATCATACTCATTCCTAGTAAGGAAAGCACCATGTTTGTGAACTCAAGATTGGAACTCTTTCCTGGTTACTAGTCCGCTTGAGTTAAGATCAATGGTGTTGAGAGATCTGTAGATATTCTTCCATTCGTAGCTAAGTTTGTGCTTAAGAATATCATTCATCTTGCTTTGGAAAGGAGTCGAAAATGTTGAGAAATCATTACTCTTAGTCATACTTTTCCTACTCGGAGATAAAGCAGTTGCAGCAGGTAATTTCTTGAGGCTCTTTGCAAAATTAGTAGATGTCAGTTGAGGTAAATGATTATTTCTCGATTTCCTTGGCGAAATAAGTGCATCTAGCTTAGTCTTATTTCTCAGTTCTCCTGGTTTGTCAATAATCCTGGGAATTCCAAAATCTTCATGGGTCATATCGTCTTCACCAATCTCTGAAGCTATTGCTTTGATAAAATTTGATTTCATATTCTCCATTCTCTTAGTATTCGGTGAAAAGCATCTGTTAGATTTATTTTCAAGGTCTTGGTCATCAAGTTCAAGCTGATGAGGCTCATTCAATTCTTTGGGCCCAAGCTTCTCTGTATCATGCTTAAGGGATTCTTTAGTTTCGATATCTTCGACCTGGTTCATCCTGGCTTGTAAGAAACTAATCAACTTTTTGTAATTAATCAAAGATTTGTTCTGAATTGATTTATATGGCTTAAAAATTTTATGCATGCTTCTACCGTTAAGGTGGGGGAATACTTGTGAGAACACCAGGTTGAGTTCATCATTAGTCAGATATCCGTTAGAGTCCAAGTCAAGCTTCTTTATCTCTCTGAAAAGTGAATGTAATAAGCTCTTATTTTCTTTCAACTCTTTAACAAAATTTTCCTCTGAGATAGGCAGAAGTTTTTGGGTAATATTAGCTTGCTCGATGTCATCCTCTCTATTTTTCTAGATCTATCCTGTTATAAGCGGTATTGATGTCCTTTGATTGCTTGAGGTCGATCAAGATTGGCTTAATGTCAATATCTATGTTATTTCCCTCATCCCTCAGGTTCATGGACTCTAGGAGATTGTCCTTCTCCTTGTCATTAAGGATAAAACCATATCTATCAAGTATAAAAATAAGTTTGTCTTTTGGAATAACTGTCTTCTCAATGCAGCTGTTTAGAAGGTCTTTAAGGAACTGGGTCCAGACTTTTGGCTTAACTGTTTTCTGAAATTTATCCAGAAGCATTAAAGATTTATCCTTAATGATCTTATTTATGTAAAGAGCAGTACTTTCCAGTACCTTTAGTCTCATCCCAGCAGTTTTCGTGTTGACAAGTTACAAGTCTTTGAGGAGCGATGTCTTGTCTAAAGTAGAGGAATTCCACTGGAGAGATTACCGATCCAACACTCTTTTTGAAATCTTCATAAGTGATCCTTCCGTCCTTGTCATGATCTAGGAAGCTATATAGGTCTTCAAACTGGTTCTCAGTGAGGTCTAGCCCCCAGTTGGTGAGGTATCTGTTAAGGTCATCCCTCTGAATCCATCCATTTTTAGAGCTGTTTAGATCAGAGAATGCTTTCTTGAGTGTCTTCCACTGAGTTTGAATTTTCATAAAGAATCTTTTCATCAAATTGCTATTCATAATGGTATCGGAGACTATCTTTCTACTTGGAATCTTCTTCGACTGCTTATGTAAATTTTCTTCATATTGAGGATTCCTTAAAGAATCATGTCTAAAATAGAAAGTTTCAGTTGGCTCTATTGCACCACCCATCCACTTGCAGAAATCTTGGAAGTTAATCCTGCCTTCTCTTTTAGAGTCTCTATTTTTCATAAGGGTGCGGAGATCTCTGAAGTCAAGTTTGAGAGCTACCTTTCCGAACTGTCTAGCGATATCTTCTGCAGTGATACATCCATCATAATCTGTATCGAGAGACAAAAAAGCCTTCCGGATTGATACAAAATTACTAGAGAATTTCTCTTTGATAAACTCCTCAAGTTTGAGAAGTCTCTGAACAAGAATCTCCGATTTACTATTTTCATCGAGGTTATTTTTCAAGTTTGAACTCTTCTTCATGGGCATCGTCATTAGAGCCTGCGAATCTTTTGGGGAAGAAAGCTTTCTTGAAACCTTCAAAGTTCATTTGACCTTTAGGACTTCTCACAAAGAGCTTCTCATAGTCTAGGAATTCTTTAATCTGCTCTTGAGTGTAAGGTAGCTTATAATTAAGTATTGTGTGGAAGAAGTCCTTTTCAATTAGATAGCCTTTTCCTTCAAAATCAAGATCAGCAAAGGCTTGTTCAGGGATTTTGAACACTTTCTTCATCTCATGACGGATTTTACCCCGCATTTTTGAATATTTGAGAGCTTCTTTGTTTGGTCCAGACTCTGAAGTTGAAAGATTATTCATATTTTCCCTATAGATTTATCATTAGCATCAAATCTTGACAAACTAAAGACTTAGTCTATGATAGATTACATCATCAGTGAGTTATTTATGCCACGTGAAGCGAATTCAAATTGTATATTGTCTGTTAAAAGAGATACTTACATTGCATCGAAATTTGCTTTCATCTTGAAATCGTATAAATAAAAATTAATCAAAGACGATAAGAATAAATGGGGTTTTGGGGTTTTGGGGTTTTGGGGTTTTGGGG